GGTAGTGATCGTCGGTCGAGCTTACCATTGGGTGTTAAAGGTAAGGACGGTAAGCACATATAAGCCACTGGTGTCATATAGTCAGGCAGTAAAGTCGATAGATAGGTGCGTAAATTCTGTGCTAACGATGTAGTATCTGCATCGGTCACTACATAAGCTACCAAACGAGCGTCTGATCCATTGCCATAGGATTGTACAACAGCCCCACTCACCTGCGGATGTTTGATTAGATGGACTTCAATTTCACGAGGCTCAATTCGGAATCCTCGGATTTTAACTTGTTGATCTGTCCGGCCCAAATACACTAGATTACCATCAGGCAGATATCGGGCTCGATCACCGGTACGGTACATGCGTGCCGATGGATTGTCACTGAATGGATCGGATAGAAAACGTTCCACGGTAAGTTCAGGTCGGTTCAAGTAGCCACGTGCCACACCAGCACCACTAATATACAATTCTCCCTCAGCTCCCAATGGTACTGGCTCACCGTGTGCATCAAGCAAATATGCACAAAGATCTGCGATAGGTCGTCCAATTGAGTATATATTTTCAGAAGCTTCAAGTCGTTGGTAGGTAGCATGAATTGTTGTTTCCGTTGTGCCATACATATTGACCAATACTGTTTGACTTGTATTGTTTTTCTCATACCAGTCCTTTGCAATCGACGGATCTAACGCTTCGCCACCGAAGATCACATAACGTAGTAGATTCGATCTCGAATCGATATTTTTTGCTCGCATGAACATTCTAAATGCCGATGGAGTTTGATTTAGGACAGTAATATTACTGGCACAGACCCAATCATAAAATTCATCCGTAGAACGAGTTGTGTCGTATGGTACAATTGACAGTTGACTTCCATTCGATAATGCACCCCAAATCTCCCAAATGGAAAAGTCAAAAGAAAACGAATGGAATAAACACCACTTGTCCTGTTTATTGAAACTGAACATTTTTTGTGCAGCCTCAAACAGTCGCACGACTTGTTGATGTTCAACCATCACTCCTTTCGGTGTTCCTGTTGAACCAGAGGTGTAAATAACATAGGCTAGATGGTTCGGGGAGAGTCCAATCTTTGTCGTGTCGGGATTATCGACTGGTAAATCGACAGGCAATTGTTTGTCCAAGTCAACCACTGGTATTTGATGGTCTCCGAGTGCTTTACGGCCAGTAGTATCTGCTAACAGGAATTTAGGGCAGGCATCCTTAAGAGTATTGGTAAGCCGTTGACTTGGGTAAGCAGGATCAAGTGGTACGTAAGCGCCACCAGCTTTTAGAATACCCAGAATTGCCACGATCATTGTTATGTTGCGTTCGACGCAAAGTGCGATGCGATCATCTGGTTTTACGCCCCGCACAATCAAGTAATGGGCCCATTTGTTGGCCTGGGCGTTGAGTACAGCATAGCTTAGACTCACTCCATTATGTTCCACAGAAATTGCATGATCGTCACGTTCCACATGGGTCTCAAATAATTGATGAAGACAGTGGACAGGTAAATAGGTTTCCCTGGTTTGATTCCAGCTGTATAGCAGCATCTTGCGCTCTTCCGGTGGCAATACTGCCAATGTTCGAACTGGTTGCTTTGGCTCGAGATTTAGTAAGTTTTTCATTGATTCCAGAACGTGTTGCATATAGAAACAGATCCGAGTTGCTGATATTGGTGTAGTTACTTGAACCGTCAGACCCAGCGAATCACCATCATCTTCAACCGACAGTGTCAATGGGTAATTAGTTCGTCCCGTACCGCCAACGAAAGTTACTCCAGGAAGTGACGCAGCGACCGGCCCACTCTTTTGATTATGGCGATAGTTCAGTATTGCGCTGAATAGTGGCATACCTGCCGTACACCTACTGCAGCGTTGTGCTAACACAAGTGGTGCATGTTCATGTGCCAGCAATGCACTCAACCGTGAATGGGTATGGCGTACTGCAGTCTCGACACTGCTCTCGTCAATATCTATCCGAATCGGTAGGGTGTTAATCATCGGTCCCATTATATTATTGTTGCCCTCGCCGGTCTGCAAACGGCCCAGCAACACGGTGCCAAAGACTATCGCCACAAGTCCACTAGCACGAGCAAGTACCTGTGCCCAGGCCAAATGGCAAATACTAGCCATACTGACTTGTAGCTCCCGTGCAAGCACTCTTAAATGTTCATTGAGTTTTTGTGGCAACTTCAGCTCTGCTTCATTCATTCTAGTCCCGTCCAAGCCAACGTCACTCAGACCAAATGGTAAGGTTGGCTCGTCAATATCACCGAGCATTTCACTGAAGAAACGTGTGTGCTGAGCTTCACTTACTCCTAGTCGAGCCTGGGCCACGAGATGACGGAATGATGTCGGCGTTGTCAACTTATCAGTCTTTCCATCCATAATAGCGTGAACCTCTGCCAATAGTCTCTCCAGTGATGAATGATCAATTATTAAGTGGTGCATAAGTTGTATCGCAACCCAGCTCTCCTCAGCCGTTGGCGCGGCCAGCAAACGCAATAATGGTGCCTGTGTTAAGTCTAAACGATCGTGATGTGCATCAAATCTCTGATTTAACTGCACTAATGGCATTTTGGTTAGTAGCAGAGGAACCCGACGCAGAACGACCTGCGCCGGTTCACTGAGACCTTCCCAGACGAAGACTGTGCGAAAGATATCATGTCTAGTAATTATCTGTTGCAAGGCATCTGCATATTGTTCAAGCGTTATTCGGTCAATAAAATTGAGTCGGCTTACTAGTAAATATGGGTCACCACGTTCAGCTTTAATATGGTGAAATAACATGCCGTTCTGCAAAGGCGTCAATCCATAAATATCTTGAATATTAGCTAATCCGTCAGGTACCTGTACAATAATTGCATCAATCTCTGCTTGAGAAAGATTGATAAGCGGTAGCATTTCTGGAGTAATCGCTGTGCTGCATGTGGTAATCAAATTGGGCGGGATGATCATTTTCTGATAACGGTAAATATGTGAGGCCATCATGGCCAAAGTGGGAGCATCAAACACATTCCTTATCATGATGTCCAGTCCAATCTGTCGCAAATGTGCCAACAATTGTACGACTAATAGAGAATGGCCTCCGAGCGCGAAGAAATTGTCGTGTCGACTAATTCGTTCAATGCCAAGTAGTTCACGCCAGATATCGGCCAATTCTTCCTCCATTTCACCCTGTGGAGCTTCATACTGTTGACGTGCAAACGCCTCATCATCTGGAGGCGGTAGTGCTCGCCGGTCCAACTTGCCATTGGGTGTGAGTGGCATAGATGGAAGAAACACATAAGCCGATGGTATCATATAATCTGGTATCAAGGCCAAGAGATAGGTGCGTAGATCCTGGGCTAATGTTGTATCTGCATCGGCCACTACATAAGCTACCAAACGAGCATCTGATCCATTGCCATAGGATTGTACGACAGCTTCGTGCACATGAGGATATTTGACAAGATGGGCTTCAATTTCACCAGGTTCAATCCGAAATCCGCGTATTTTTACTTGCTGATCGGTGCGTCCCAAAAAGACCAAATTACCATCAGGCAGATATCGTGCTCGATCACCGGTACGGTACATGCGTGCGAATGGATTGTCACTGAATGGATCGCGTAAAAAACGTTCAGCGGTAAGTTCAGGGCGGTTAAGGTAGCCTCGTGCTACACCAGAACCACCAATGTATAATTCTCCTTCGGCTCCCAATGGCACTGGTTCACCCTCTGCATCCAGCAGGTAAATTCGTTTGTTAAAAAGTGGACGACCGATGGGCATCAGCGAATTTTCAGGAATTGTGATGCCACAGACCCAACTGGTTGCAATCATAACTGTTTCGGTCGGGCCGTACATATTGACCAATACCGTTTTCCCTTTATTGTATTTGTCATACCAGTGTTTTACAATCGATGGTTCTAATTCTTCACCACCAAAGATCACATATCGCAGTTGGTCGGAACGTGAACGGATACTTCTCGCTCGAAGAAGCGTTTTAAAAATGGAGGGAGTTTGAGTTATTACAGTAACATCCCTGGTACAGACCCAATCATAGAATTCGTCCATACAACGAGCTATATCGTTTGGAACAATCAACAATTGACTTCCATTTGACAGCGCACCCCATATCTCCCATACGGAAACGTCAAAAGAAATAGAATGGAAAAAACACCACTTATCTTTTTTATTGAAATCAAATTTATCGTAAACCGATTGGAATAGTTGAGCTGCATGGTGATGTTCAACCATCACTCCTTTCGGTGCACCGGTTGAGCCCGAGGTATAAGTCACATAAGCCAGATGGTTTGGAGTGATTCCAAGTACAGTCGCATCCGGATTATTGATCGAAAAATCGGCAGGCAACGATTTGTCCAAGTCAACTTCTGGTACATGATGATCACCGAGTGTTTTCCGGCCATTAGCGTCCAACAACAAAAATATTGGGTCAGCATCCTGTAAAACATTACTTAGCCGTTGACTTGGGTAAGCAGGATCGAGTGGTACATAGGCGCCACCAGATTTCAGAATGCCCAGTATTGCTACAATCATTGTTGTACTGCGCTCAGTGCAAAGCGCGATTCGATCATCTGGTTTCACACCTCTTGCGATCAAGTAATGTGCCAACTTGTTGGCTTGCGCATTAAGTTCAGTATAACTTATAGTATTCCCATCACACTCCACGGCGATTGCCTTTCCATCGTGCTCAACCTGTTCCTCAAATGATTGATGAAGACAGCGGGTAGGTGGATAAATAAACGTGGTTTCATTCCAAGTATGCAACAGCAATGTGCGTTCTTCCGATGGAATCACTGTTAGTGTTCGAACTGGTTTTTGTGGCTTGTGAGTTAGCATATCAGCCAGTGATATCAAGGTTTGTTGCATATATGCACCGATCTGAGCTGCTGAAATCGGTGAAACCACTTGAGACGTCAGTCCCAGTGAATCGTCATCATCTTCAACCGACAGTGTTAACGGGTAATTAGTTCGCTCCTCAATATCCATAACCCTGACTCCCGGAAGATACGTCGTTATTTCTTCTGCTGTCTGATTATGGCGATAGTTCAGCAATGCACTAAACAATGGTAAGCCGGCTGGAATTCTACTGCAGCGTTGTGCGAACGCAAGCACTGCTTGTTCGTGTGCCAACAAACTACTCAATCGAGCATGCGCATCTCCCACTGCGCTCTTGATGCTCTTCTCATTAATATCTAACCGTATTGGGAGCGTATTTATCATCGGTCCCATGACACTGTCATTTCCTATTCCAGCCTGTAGACGACCAACGAGCACGGTACCGAAGACAACCGATTCACAACCGCTAGCTCGAGCTAGCACTTGTGCCCAAGCTAAATGACATATACTAGCCATACTGACGTGCAGATTCCGTGCATGTTCTCGTAGCTGATCATTGAGTGTCTGTGGGAGCTTCAAATATGTCTCGCTTATCTCAGTTCCGTCAAGAGCAACGTCACTCAGACCAAATGGCAAGGTTGGCTCAACAATATCGCCGAGCATTTCACTAAAGAAACGTGTATGCTTTTCTCGACTATTTCCTAGTCGAGCGTGAGCAACAAGATTACGGAATGATGTGGGCGTTGTCAAATTTTCAATCTTTCTGTCAATGAGGGCGTTAACTTCTGCATGTAGTCTCTCTAGTGTTGAATGATCAATAATTGTGTGGTGCATCAGTTGCACCGCCATCCAGCTCCCCTCAGATGTTTGTGCTGTCAGCAAACGCAAAAGTGGTGCCTTTGTCAAGTCTAAACGGAAGTAAAGTGAATTAAAGCGGTGGTTTAACTGCTCAAATGAAATTTCGGTGAGTATCGAAGGAACTTGCCGCAACACAACCTGTGCCGGCTCATTGATACCTTCACAGATGAAGACGGTGCGCAAAATATCGTGTCTCTCAATCACTTGTTGTAGAGCGGTTGTATAACGTTCAAGTGCCATCTGATCATTAAATTGCATACGGCTTGCTATCAAATATGGGTCGCCCTTCTCGGCTTTTATATGATGAAACAACATACCATGCTGTAAAGGCGCCAAGCCATAAATATCTTGAATATTGGCTACTCCACCGGGCACGTGTGCAATTATTGCGTCGATCTCTGCCTGAGAAAGAGTGATAAGTGGTAACATTTCTGGAGTAATTTCCATGCAGTCTGTGGTAATAAGATTCGGAGGGATCGTGACTGCATGATAACGAGTGAGAGTCGCAGCCAACATAGCCAGATTGGGAGCATCAAACACTTCCCGTACTAAAGTATCCAATCCATTCTGTCTCAAGTGCCCCAAAAGCCGTACAATCGACAGAGAATGGCCTCCCAGTGCGAAGAAATTGTCATGTCGGCTAATGTGTTCAATATCAAGTAGTTCACGCCAGATATCGGCCAGCTTTTCCTCCATTTCACCCTGTGGAGCTTCATACTGCTGATGAGCAAAAGACATTTCATCGGGAGCCGGTAGTGATCGTCGGTCGAGCTTACCATTGGGTGTTAAAGGTAAGGA